TGGTCTTCTTTCCTCTCTTCCTTCAGGCGTCTTCTCCTCTCTCTATGTCGATGATCTTACCCTTTGCTGTCAGGGTGATGATTTGCCTCTCCTCCAACGCCGGCTTCAACTTGCGATTGATGCCGTGTCGTCTTGGGCCACCGATCATGGCTTCAAGTTCTCTACTACTAAGACTTGTGCCATGACTTTTTCTCGGAAACGGGTCATTCTTCGTCCATCTGTCACTTTATGGTCATCCCCTTGAGTACAAAGATTCCACAAAGCTTTTGGGGTTATTCTTTGACACTTGTTTGTCTTGGTCTTCCCATATCTCTTACCTCCATGTTGAGTGCTTTAAAGCCCTTACTGTCCTTCGGGTATTGTCCCATACTTCTTGGGGAGTGGATAGGCGCACTCTCCTTGCTTTACATTCCTCTCTCGTCCTGTCTAAGCTCAATTATGGTTGCCCTGCTTGCTTGTCTGCTTCTCCTTCCACTCTTCGCCGTCTTGATGCTTTGCACCATACTGGGTTGCGCCTCAGTTCTGGTGCCTTTTGTTCAACTCCCATCCTCAGCTTGTATTTTGACACTGGCTTCCTGTCTCTCCAGGACCGCCGTGATCACTACTGTCTTCGCTATCTAGCGCGGTCCTTGCAACATCCTTCCTCTCGCCTCTGTCGTGCTTTAACTTTTACCCCTCCTGCGGTTCCTGTTCCTCTTCACCCCCTCCCTCTTTCTGTCCGGTTATCTCGTTTACAGGATTCTCTTTCCGTTCATATTTCTAATATTTCTCCTCGTGTAGTTCCTTCTTTGCCCCCGTGGAGAGTCCCCCTTAGGAAGTTTTGTACGTCCTTGACCCGCATCCCTAAAGCTTTTACCCTTCCTACGGTTCTAAAACGCCTTTTCCTTGAGCACTTTTCTTCTCACTCCCACTCCGTTTCCATCTTCACTGATGGGTCTAAGTCTGCGGACGGTGTTGGCTACTTTGTTTTTCCTGTTCACACTTATTTGTGTCGCTTACATCTGGAGACTAGCATCTTCACAGCGGAGCTTTATGCTATTCTCTATGCTCTTCGTCTCCTGCTCTCTCGTTGTCAATCTTCCTTTGTAGTTGTTGACTTTGGTAGTGCCCTCATGGCTCTCGGGGCCTTTAATCCGGTTCATCCAGTGGTTGTAGAGATCCAGCATTGGCTGTTTCTTGTTCACAATAAATTTATGTCGGTTGAGTTTTGTTGGGTTCCCAGCCATATTGGTGTCTTTAAATGAGCGTGCGGATGCTGCCGCCAGGGAGGCTGTCCGCTCCTGTCCCATTTCTCGTAAACGTATTCCTTATTCCAACTTTTACCTGGTTATCCATTCCTCCATCCTTACCCGTTGGCAGGCTTGTTGGTCGTCTGTTACTGGTAACAAGCTACATTCTCTTAAAAGTTGTGTGTCCTCATGGCCGTCCTCCTACCACCGTAACCGGCGATGGGAAACGGCTCTGGCGAGGTTGCGTATTGGCCATACTCGCTTAACTCATGGTCACTTGATGGAGCGCCGCCCTGCTCCTTATTGTCCTAATTGCATTGTCCCTCTTACAGTCGTGCATATCCTTGTTGAATGTCCTGACTTCCGGAACGAGCTTGTGTCTTGTTTTCCGACTGTCCCCCGTGAATGCTCGTCTCTCGATAGTATTCTTGGCGACTGATACTTTTGATATCGTTTGCCTTATGCCTTTCTGTTCTCGTATTGGCATCCTTGGTGATATTTAGCGCCCTCTGATTATCCCACACACATTTGATGGTGCTACATAGCCTTCCTGGTTTGGTGCCTTCTTTTTGATAATTACTTGTTTGTAACTGTTACCCAGTCTTATGCTGAATATGCAGGCATTGCATAAGGCAGGCAGCATGGGCATTGCACGTTGGGTTCAGGTGGTTGCAATGCGTGAGGTTGTTTGCTCCCTGGAAGCCCCGAAGCTGCCCTGTTTTGGTGGTTGTGACGGCGCTTGTGGGGGGGGGGGTCGTTTTGGTTTTGTATCCATCCACACCTCTTTACCTTTCCCCTGTTGTGGTTTAATCTGTTCCCCCCCCCCCCCTCCCTTTCTTCTCTCTGCATCCGGATCCTCGCCGTATGTGGGTTCGGGGTCGGGGCAGGGATTCGACGGTCTTAAGACTCGGGCGATCTCGGGAATTTCCCAATTTCCCCTTTCGGGGTAGTGACGGAGGCATTCGAGCTTGTTCCTCCAGCCATGTTGCCAGTGGGCTCCCTTCTTTAGTATTTATCCAGTTGCCCCTGCTTTTTATTGTAAGGTTGGGGTTTTGGGGGGGGACGGCTCGGCCTCGGGGCTGGGAAGTGGCTGCCTTGGGGGGGGGGTGACCTCGGGCCCCGTTGGGCCCCGCCGAAGTTTCCTACCTTCTGGGCGGAGCTTGCGGTTACGAGAAGTGGGAGTTTTTCCTTTCTTCCCTCTGTATACGAGTAGTTGGGCATCGGCCCCTCCCCGGGTTCAGTTCCTTGTCCCTTCGGGTCTGTCCTATCGGTGGATACTCTTCTCCGTTTTCTCGCCGTTCTTCTCTGGGACAGGACTTCTCAGTCATGTCGGGGTCATGTTCCCCTCATATTGGGGTTCTGCATGTCCTTTGGTCTCGGGTGCAACTGTGCCTTTATGAGCCTTCGTGATTTTGTGCTTTCTGCTTGTGCTTGTCTCGTTCTTTTGTACTTGTATCTTCTCTCCGTGCTGTCTTGGCACTGCTAATATTCCTTAAATCCTCCTAGTTGGCTCCCTCCCCGCCAGACAGGTTGTGCAGTTCGGACCTCATGCGTCCTGTGCATGCGCCGTGGGAGTTTTTGTTATGGTAGGTGTACACAAGTGTTGGTGTTCCACGTCATTTTTCTCTTGGGTGCTTCGTCTCTCTCGCTCCTCTTATCTCTCCAGTTCGGGCCCCGTGGATACTGGATGCGTTCTGGATTATCAATATATGGAAGACTCCTAGTTTTCTCTGCATACGGGTGTGGGGCGCCACATTCGCTTCTACCCTTCTCTTCTCCTGCATGTGTGGCTCTGGCCTTATTCCACTAGCGGTGCTTCCGGAATATTCTCGGCTACAATGTATCGTGATACGTTAGTACCTCCACTCTGTAGGAGAGTATGCGATCGGGCGTCTCTTCAGCCAGGCGCTGGTTTTCCCTTGTTCCTGGGTGTGGTTCTCTCTGGTCATCTGCAGGGTGGTTCGGTCCTGCCAGCCTGCTGTCTGTGTCCCCGTGCCCCCGTCGTTTGTAGGTTGGCTATGCCTTCCTTCGTTGATGTTCCTGAGCCTTGTCAGGCCTGTGTGGCCTTGGGTTAGCAGTTGCAGTCCTTTGTTTCCGTTTCGCGTCAGGAAGTGGGCAACTTCTGCCTCCCGGGTTAAGTCCCTCTTGTTTTCGTCTTTGGGTAGGTAGCTCCAGAAAACCAGTGTTGAATGTAATGAAACGCCATTTTCTGGGCGTGTCCCGGAAGCTCCCCGGCAACCCTCCCTTCTCCCGGTCAGCGCTTTTCACACTTTTTTTTTATATCCAGCCTCAGGACTGGAGTGTGGATGGCTGGCGTAGGGGTCTGGGGCTCCCCCTTCCCCCTCCCAGGGATGGGGGAGCTGCACAGACAGCATAGCGACGTGTGACGTCATACTCGTTTGCTTGTTTCTGTTTGGGGAGTTCTATCCACTTTTTATTTTTTTTTTTTTAGCAATTTTCACCAGAATCGGGGTTTGTTTTGGGACACTTACCTTTCTGGGTGCCTAACCATGTTGATGGTAGACATAGAATGCTTCCAACCACACGGGGGTTTCTATAGGCCATTGCTCCTCATGCCTCTGAGGGGGCCAGGTGCTGGCTCATGGTCCCCACTAGGCCCACAGAACTCCAGACACATGACTGATGCCAAAGTCTGACATTAGCACATCACCCTGGATAGCTCCGGGACTCGCCCAGGAAACGGCGTTTCATTACAGTCAACGCTGGTTATTTGTAACTGTGCATAATAGTACAAACATTGACGTACTAAGGAATTAGATAGGAGAATTTTGTACTACGCAGTTTATAGAGGCCAAAAAAATAAGCTACAAAAAAAAAAACTTCCTAGGTCTAGTATAGCATACATGTACAATAGTAGACCTTGGATAGCATGTATTAGGCTTAGGAAGGTAAGGTTAGTGTGTCGTTGCAACAAAAGTCTTTCCAGTCTGTCCAATTTCAGTATGTCCGAGAACTACTTTCTAATTCCATTGAATATTGGTATATGTACTATGGTCCTCATCGTCACTAAGTACTACCAAAACAAGAGGATGGGTTGTAATATTGCAATGGCAATCTATAATATTACTCTTTGCAATAGAGATGGAGTGGGATGACATACTGTACCTTCATTAGAAGTCATCAGGACATTGTTAAATTATTAGTAGAACCCTTCATATTATATGAAGCCAGGCATAAGGTGCCATCATTACAATCAAGGCATCCATAAGCAGAGCTGATCCCACTGGGTAGCAGTGTAGTAGCTACTGGCATTGAAGTGGCAGGTGAGGGTTTAGAATCCGCAGTGTGATCTCAAAAAGGTTGTCAAGTCAGGTTCCAGCACTGCAGAAGCTATACATGGAAATAGTGGGGAATTCCTTCTGAGGCATGGAAATGGATAACCTTCCCAAGTGGCCGGGTGAGGAACTATCTGCTCATCGACTACAAGAGATGCAGTGCAGTGTGCCTCAACCCAACCAGCGCTTCTTCGTATGTAAACTCATTAGTACCTAATGAAATGCACCAACAACATTATCAGTACTGCATTATTCTGTTATTAGTCATTCATTGCCATTTACACTGTCCATTTTCAATACCTTTAATTGATTTCCATGTGTTCCTTTATGTTCCATGTTTTTCTCTAAAATTATGTGACTGCCTTCACTTATTTGAAGTCATTCTGCTCATAATGGGATCCTGATATAGCCATTTATAAGCTTTTGCACTCATAATTACTTGCATCTCTCCTCACTTGAGAAGTTAAACACGTTAACATTTTATAATTTTATTTATCAAACAGTAGTTGAAAGATTTAAATTACAGTATTATTCCACTACCAATACTTGGTGCAATACTTTGATATGAATGTACATAAATTATATATTTCAGAAATAAAGATTTGTAAAAAGGGGCCCCACTGCATGGTATGGAGTTCAAAAGCAAATCCAATTATGGGTGACTAGTTCACCACAAATTTAAAATCCTTTGCTTAAATTATGGTCCAGTTCTTAACCCATTAATGATTGTTACATTAAACTACAGACGACCACATGCCTACCGGATGCCACTTATGCGTTTTGGGATTGTCCGAATACAAAGTTTGATTCAGTGGCGAGGCAGAGAGAAAAAAGTGATAAAGATGGAACTAAAACAAATTTGCCCAGTGACTACACAGCACCACTTGAGCAGTGTTCATACACTAATGGGTGGCTCAGAAGCTTTCAACTCTGCCATAGCATTAAATACATTAGAGTACGTGGTAAAAGGTAGTCTACTCAGGTTCACTTCAGTCAACCTACCACTATCATCCACCATCACATTTTTTGTATCTAAAAAACAATGCTCTATTAACTATAATCTAAGTTAACAAGGGATCAGAACTTCTCATATTGGTGACTACAAATAAAATACTGTAATTTCTGCAACAAAATGTTCAATTTTTTTCCCCCTAGATTTTCAGGATGACAAACCACTTATCTGGACACAAGTTATCTGTTCAGTCCAGTCCCTAGGGTTTGAAAAGCATGTGGACCTCTGTATATAGCTTATCAAGAGTTATTGGGTACTTAGCCAAATGAATTGTGGGGTTCAATTCCTGAGCCCATTATTGTACCTCTAATCATTTCCACTACCACCCACATGATGGTTATGGCCAGAGTGCACAATAAACTTAAAAAAAATCTCTACTACATGAACTTGAAGCTTCATTCAAGGTTTGCTGCGAGAAGTGTCGCATTTCTCCAAGCAGCTCAAAATTCATGATTAATTCCAAGTTCTAAAATTCCAGTTCACTTTTTGATTATCATATTTACAGTACACCTGTACTATCAAACTTCGTTAGGATTTCCATTTTTCCAAGAGTACCATAATTTATGATTTCCTGCTCTATTGTAATTTGGTTTTTAGCTACTGTATAGAGTACAATATATTAGCCAACCAATAGTTCCATAACATGTCAAGAGTCACTTGCCACAAACTGTGTTGAATAGGTGTCGAGATTACTATTACCACCCTAAAAATTATGTTTGTTAGGTTATGAGTGTGGGGTGTCAGGCACGTAACGCTTCCAATAATATCGCCAGACCTAACCACGCATGCTTGTCAAGTTCTTGACACGTGACAAACACAGAACCAAGATTTTGATTCTTTTTAACCTTCGACTTGCATGAAGTGGCTTGCTAATGAGTCCAGACATGCTCTGTACTATAAATATTTCTTTTGACATGATTCAGCACGTAATGCACCATATTACTACAGTATGGTATTAACACTCCCATTATTAAACAAATTTAAAGTTAAATTCTACAGCAGAAAAGTACAAAATTTAAAAAGTGTGGAGTAAAAGTTGCCCGAAACGCTTTGCGTAAATAGTGGCATTAGGCATTGTATGTACTAGCTCTATCTATAAATCCATCAATCTTTGTAAAATCTCTTGTATGTATGTACCTTACCTAAATAAACATTTATTTTTATTTTTTATTTTAAAAATACTCTGGCCACTGTGAAAGCTCCTGGTGTTGCAACACTTGGAAAAGACCTACACTGCTTGAAACTCTCACCACTCTAAAAGGTGTGAATTTGGAGATGGCTCTATAACAAATGCTCAAGAAATGTGTAAATATATTCAAAATGTTCTACCAGAAATTTTTGCCAAATATCCTTGGTTTGTAGACAGTAAATATGAGTGATTGTAACCTTTCCACCACCATTCACATGATTAGAGGGGAAGGTGTACGTGATAAGCAAATCAATTATGAAACTAGCTCACCACATATGTAACTAGTTTATCAAGACTAACTTCCATATCAATGAATTTTGGGGGACTGGTCCAAACCCATTATGTATCTAACTTTTTTCACTACCACCCACAGGATGGGTATGGAGTGCATAATAAATTAAGTTAACACTCGGGACAGTGTCTTGAACTACAACATGCACTGATGGGAAACTTTACAAGTCTTGTACAAAATAACCATGCAAGATTGCAACCCGTTCTCGCACTTTCTTAGTCAACATTGACTTATTAAATACGTGCATATGTGACATACTAAACATACTAGTTTACCGTGAAAAGCTTCATAGAAAACACCGACCTTACCTAACCTTCTTAGTATGTTAAGATAAGCATCTTATTGCTTCGTAATTACAATTATTACTTAACCTATACCTGTAATAGGTTAGTATTAATACAATTAGTATTTACCCAGGTTCTTCCAGAATCTAAACTGAATCAATTTAATGTATACCCTTTGTTTCATGTTTTATTTTGCATTATATTTAAAAACTTATTTATATCCTCAGTCCTTATACCTTTTCATCCATTACCTATAATCCTATACCTATAATAGGTTAAGTAATAATTGTAATTACGAAGCAGTAAGATGCTTATCTTAACATACTAAGAAGGCTAGGTAAGGTCGGTGTTTTCTATGAAGCTTAAGGTAAACTAGTATGTTTAGTATGTCACGTATGCACGTATTTAGTAAGTCAATATTGACTGTACGAAAGTGCGAGAACGGGTTGGAGCTTGTGAGAGCCACATGGGTGCCAGCGGTATGAGAATAATGAGATCACTAAACTCTGGCCAGGTGTGCAGGGTTGACCACATGACCAGCAAAGAGTGTTATACTGTTGGCCTTGTCCGTGATCAAGAATATGAATGGCCGGTTACAGATGAACTTTTTAGGTACCGGGCTTCTGGAACGCATGCCAGTGAGCACTGTAATAAAATAAATCACATTCTTAAAATATCACACAAATAATCATGAAGGGAACTAGCAAGCCTAGTGACCCCATACGAGGACGTTCATATTTATATCCACTCAAACTTATAGGTGTGTCTAACCAACACTTGAAATTATCAAGTGATCCCATTTGCTACTGCATAATTTGCTCCATAAATCTACAACCATTATACTTCAAAAATTAGTGTTTACCCAGGTTCTTCCAGAATCTAAACTGAACCAATTTAATGTATACCCTTTGTTTCATGTTTTCTTTTGCATTATATTTAAAAACTTATTTATATCCTCATTCCTTATACCTTTTCATCCATTTGTATGGTTTACTTATGTCACCCCGTGCAGCATCTTTCTAGAGCACAGCTGGTTCCTACACCAGGGGCCATGATCCATTTTTTTGGGGGGGGTGGGGGGGGGGCAATATGTAGGGGCCTTCAACCGTGCAAAACATACATGTATGTAGGGAATAACTGTCACGGAATCGTGCACATCGCACATGTACAATTTAGGTCTAGCGCACAATTTTAAATGCCCCGCAAGGAAAAGGGGCAGCTATAATCCAGCCACGGCCAATAGTAAACAGACACCATCTTGGAAAAAAAAAATTGTGGGCAACATTCCCGGGTGCAAGAGCCTCAGAACTGAGTGAGCAACCAAGGTTGGCGCATGCATCATGAGCTAACAGCACTGCTGTTCACCTTGTGACCACAGCATCACCTAAAAAGTAAAAAATATATGTAACTGGTATTATGTAGTTATGATAGTATAACAGAAGACCCCAGACTGTGATAAAAATGACCAGGATTCTGATAATAGCAGGAGTGTTGTGATAATTAGCACTGTGCTATATGATGGGAGGAGTAATGCTGAGGGAGGAGGGAGGTGGTGGTGTTGTAGCGAGTAGATTATCCCAATAATATACTCGCTCCAAATGCATTGTTAATATTTCCTGTAACACCATCGACTTATTGTGGATCCCGCAGGTGCAGTACTTCGAGCCTCTCCTAGTACCTCTACACAAGTTAACATCGTCACCCCAGTCGCATCTACGGAACTTCAAGCACTTCTGGATGAATTCAAAGATGTGACCCAACCCGCCAGCCCTCGACCAGAGGTGCAGTCGAGGTGCAATATACGATTACGCATCACATTACTACAACGGGAGCACCTACCTTCGCCAGACCACGCCGCCTGGCACAGGAACGACTGGCGGTAGCACGTGCTGAATTCAATAAGCTACAGGAGGCAGGAATAATCCGCCCTTCGAACAGTCCATGGGCTTCACCTCTCCATATGGTCCCGAAAACAGCCCCAGGGGAATGGCGCCCTTGCGGAGACTACAGGGCTCTCAACGTTCGTACTCTACCGGATCGCTACCCAATACCACACATCCAGGATTTCTCACAGGGATTGAGCAACGCAACCATTTTTTCGAGAATTGACCTTGTGCGGGCATTTCACCAGATCCCTGTGGAACCGGCAGACATTCCGAAAACAGCGATCACAACACCTTTTGGACTGTTTGAATTCGTCCGGATGCCTTTTGGTCTACGGAATGCAGCCCAGACATTCCAACGCTTCATCGACCAAGTAGTTAAGGACCTTCCTTTTTGCTACGCCTACATTGACGATCTGCTGGTGGCCAGAACATCACCAACAGAACATCTGCTACACCTCCGACTCCTTCTCACCCGTCTGCGCAACTTCGGCTTGCAGCTCAACTCCGAGAAGTGTATTTTCCATGTTCCAGAGCTGGATTTCTTGGGACACCGTGTGTCAGCAGCAGGGGTCCAACCACTAGAGAAGAAAATCGAGGCAATCAAGGAATTCCCGCGCCCATCCACTCCAAAGAAGTTGCAAGAATTTCTTGGTGTAGTGAATTTTTATCATCGATTCATCCCACATTGTTCGGACATCTTGCGACACTTGTACGACCTCCCGCCCTACAACCCCAGTTACCAGCCGCACCACAACCTGATCCTGCGACGACGGACGATCCTGTGCGACCTCCCACCCTACGACCCCAGTTAGATGACATCAGCGAAGAGGAGGAAGTTAACTTTGATGGCTATGCAACGCGAGCAGGGCGTACTATTCACCGACCAGCTAAGTTCCTTGATCAAGTATTTTTCCTTTCATCCCCTGGGAGGGGGAGTTCTGTAGCGAGTAGATTATCCCAATAATATACTCGCTCCAAATGCATTGTTAATATTCCTGTCAACCTTTGGAGATGAATGAGGCGAGGCGTTGCCCGGGCAACACGGTGAGGTGTTGCCCAAGCATATAAGCAGCAGAATAGCAAACATTAACTAGTCTACTTTCAAGTGTGGTCTAGAGCAGACACTTGCGAGATACTGTACCGACTCTCAGTGCGCTCAACTCACACCAAAGTATCACCTGTGTACTTCTGTATATTCGACGAAATATATATATAGTATCTTAGTGTGTGTTTATTGTCACCATACTTTACGTAACAATAGAACCGTTACAGTGTCTTCTGTGTGGCCATATTTTATTGTCTAAACGCACCATACCAGCTTAGTGGTTCACTATGGTGAACACAAATGTAGATACTGTACTTATATATATATAATGTGTATAGAGTGTAATAACAATATGAGTATGGTGGGAGCAGCCATTTTGGTGAGGGAGGTGGCGTCGTCTGTATGACATGTCATGTGTTGTGTACTGGTGGCCACTATACTCTTTGGGAACCATACCAGCTTAGTTGTACAGTCATGGTGAACAAAACATGTAGATACTTATATATAATGTGTGTATATAGTGTAATAATACCACAAACAGTATATTTGGGGAAGAAATTTGAGTGCATCTGGCATTGAACCACAGACGTAGCCGTCAGTTCACTGTGTTGTGACCTCTCATTGCCTGAACTCGCCATACTAGCTTAGTTGTACAGTTATGGTGAACAAAATATGTAGATACCTATATATAACATATGTATATAGTGAACAAAAAAAATATTTTACTTTGATGTCCAAAGAGTTTCCAAGGAAAGGATGGGGGAGGTAGAAGAATGGGGAAGTGAAATTCTGGAAGAGGATGCGGGTGTAGAGACAGATGGTGGTTTGAAAGTTCGGTGGCCTGTCCACCATGGGTTGGCACGCGTGTGTAAAAACAGTATGGTTGGAGGAGGATGTTGGCAAGTGAAGTGTTATTGAGGAAGGGAGTGGCGGCCACTCTTCACTGCTTTTTGACTCGCCATACCAACTTAATGATTTGTTATGGTGAACAAAACATGCAGATACTTATATATAACCTGTGTATATAGTGCAATAACAGCAAAACTATTTGTTTACTGTTTTACAAACATAATTGAATCACTAATATGCACACAATACTTTTGAGTATAGTGATGATTCACACATTTTATTATATAAATACATCACTACACACTATTGAATAATATTACTGGAAAAAAATCAGACATTGAAATAATTAGATAATATCTTTGTGGCAACTCCCGCCTGACAGCTGGGTGGAGCAGATAGCCTCCGACGCTTACTCTGCCAATGCCCCAATTTTGCCAGACTTACCCAACCTATTGCAGCCAAAATATATCACAATTTTTTCTGGGGGGGGGGGGGGGGAGCCCCGGAGCTATCCAGGCTGAAGGGATATGTAACTTTCTGGCATCAATGTGCTTGGAGTTCTTGCTTACCAGGGACCACAAGCCAGAACCTGGCCCCCTCAGAAAAGGCACGAGGAGCAATGGCCTAGAGAGACTGACCCCCCCCTTCTGTGGTTGTGAGCATTCTATGTCTGCCATTGACCGGAAGAGACACCCAGAAAGGTAGGCGCCCCAAAACAAGCCCCTACTCGGTAGTAGTTTTACCAGAAAAACTAAAGTTGGCAAAACTCTCCAAACGAAAATTACCAAACGAGCATGACGGCATTATGTTGCCGTGCCGCTGTCTGCGCAACCCCTCCCCCACCAATCCCCGGGAGGGGGAAGGGGGAGCCCCAGACCCACCCACCCACCGGCAACCCAACCAACCTTCAGTTCTTGACCGATGGGAGTCTGGTGCGGTCATGCCTCTGGCGCCAGTTTTTGTTTGTTCTGTCCCTTGTGATGTGGACACTCAGGTGGTGCGTGAGCCAGGAAAAGTATTCCACAGTACTCGGGCTGCATGAGCCTAAGGTTCCCTTCCCTAGGTGCCCAGTAATCGAGAGTCCGATTTTTTTCACCCTCCAGGTAGAAAAATACAAAAAAATCCTGCAAGAAGACAATGTACCCAGGCAGAACAGAGCCAGCCACTGGTATTGGTGAAAACAAGCTGTGCAGTACCCCACGCCCCTTCCAGTGACGAAAATTACCCCTACCCAGAAACAAAAGGGCAAGAAAAAACCCCAGCTGACCCCAAGGGTGGCCAAATACCGAGCAGTAAACGGCACAGCAGAGGTAGGTCCCGAGGTGACTTGTGGAAGGAGGCCCCAAGCCCCAAGGGCAGTACTTACTGGGCACCTAGGGAAGGGAACCCTAGGCGCATGCAGCCCGAGTACCGTGGAATACTTCCCCTGGCTCATGCACCATCTGAAGAAACGGTCCACACCACAAGGAACAGAGCAAACAAAAACTGGAGCCAGAGGCACGGCTGCACAAGAATCATCAGTCAAGAAAGTGTTCCAAGAACCACATCAGACGAATGTTAACCATATGTAACGAATAAACCTATACTCGCTCCATTATCTCATCATCTTAATGGCATAACTAATTACACAAGCTATAATCCTATCCCTATTTACAGGTAATGGTTTTTCCACCCTCCTATCTTACTGTGAGGTGTAGTAACCATATATAAGCCAGCGATTTGAGAATAGCAAACCAGTACAATCTCCAGTCAAGAATGTAGTACTCTGCGTGGGCAGTTCTAATCGACCCAAGACGCTACAGCTTTGACACAGAGCAGACAGCAGACTACGACCGCATCCAGCTACAACGCTCTCGCTCCCCGAG